TGCAAAAATTTGGCATCAAATTTTTGATAAAAATCAAATTAAGCTGCTTTTTCTGGATAAAATTTTTGAATTTTCTCCTTCAGAATATGAAAATATTTATTTCAGAATAACAAATGCCCTACATAAATATGAAATGAATCCAGAATATGCTCCAATAATTGAAATAAATAGATTTGAAACGAAGGATAAAGCAACATACCTTAACATCTTAGAAAATTGGTAAGAAAATAAGTGTAAAGTTTTTATTTTTTATACGTATAAATATTTGTTTAGTTAATATCAAAAAAGCAACTTTTGAATTTATAAGTTAATTTTTTTTATAGTTTATGTCTTCGGAATATAATCAGACGGTGATTGAAATTAGTGGCTTAACCTGTCACAGATTACAGACATGCTAGCGCTAGGCAGATTAGTATAATACAGATCTAATTTAAAATCTATACTATATTAGTCCTTAATCCTAATATATAATATGTAATACCGGATCAGTATGGTATAAATTTTAAAAACTTGCCTGTGTTATACGAATCTGTTCATCTATACTATATAATGTTTATTTTATTAAGGTTATATATTTGTTTTACATAACTAATTTCATCATAGTGCAATTTGAACAATTTGATATATATTAAAAAAGTGGGAATTTCTTTATTTGAAAGAAAAAAAAAGTTTTTCGTGAACATATTTTTTCAATAAAATATGATTGGATAAAGCAAACGGGCAAGATTCCATTGCTTATTTGAGATTGATATCCTCGAACTGAATTTTTGCGCCATTACTTTTCTAATCGAAGGGACGTGACTAGAGGTTGGAAGTGGTTTAGCAATTCAGGTTTATCACATGAATTTTGTGATATTTTAGAATTTATTAAAATTTAATTGAATAAATTTCTTAAATATCTCAAAATTCACAGGATAAACCTGAATTATTAAAACCGGTTCAACCTTTAGACGTGACAAGAATTGGTTTGCGTGACAAGAATTGGTTTGTGTAATTAGACTTATAGCAGTTAAAAATTGATTATGTCACGAATCTCTATATGTGGTCATGAAATTAGCATAGCGGGCTTTATTATGATTGGCTGATTCGTAGATCATCTTATCATAGTAAAGTCTTATTAGAGTAACGATTT